GAAACGATTGAAGTACTTGAACGAAAAATGAGAAAAACGGAAACTTTGGACAGTTTACACAATTTTAATTTGGCGGTGCAACATCTTATTTGAAAATTGAACATCTCCAATTAAAAAGACAAGCATACCTTTATATATATATATATATATATATATTAAAGACATTTTTATGTTTAACGTTGTTATTTTATAGATACAAGTATTTAAGCAAATGCTCTGTTTATGATAAACAGTATTAAATAACATTTACCGGCCTGAATGTCCGAGAAATTTTCATAGAAAATATTCGTTCTTTGACAGGATTTGAACCTGCATCCTATACGGAACCGCCATATACGCTGACTACAGCGTATATGACAGTTCTTTCTAGAAAAAGAACCGTTCAGTAGAGCAGTTATGAATGTACGAGATTCATGGAAGATTGGGTTTATAAGCAGTAAATTCGACCGAACGGTTCTTTATAGGAGGTAAGGTACGTCAGCGTATATGACGGTTCCGTATAGGATGGTAGTTCGAATCTCGTCAAAGAACGAATATTTTCTATGAAATCTTGGACATTCAGGCCGGTAAATGTTATTTAATAATTGTTTATCATAAATGAGCAGACTTGTATCTATAAAATAACCATAAAATGTCTTTAATAAATAAATTGTACTTTGTATATATATATATATATATATATATATATATATATATATATATATAATGGATAGCGGCTTGGATTGAGGAATCGCAGAGCCGAGTTCGAATCCATTACATTCACTTACGTGCTAATACCCTTGGGAAAGGTATGAAATCTTCCTCTCCCTCCAGCTATGGGTAAAATAGCAGGACAGACTGGGGTTCTATAGCCTTGGATAGAAACTAGTCTAGGAGAAGGACAACTCAATTCAAAACCTGCGGAGGTCGTTTGGGGAACCTTATGGCATTCGGTTACCAGGTCTCTGCATTCGTCCTTCAAAAAAGTGTGGATGGTCCTGCACGAGGCCTTCACCGCTATAATCAAATCTCATGTGCCGGTGTCATTGTCGGTTTCTTGAAACTGATCTGCTTGACCCTCATACGTCGAATCTCGACGGGAGAGTCGATATATATATATATATATATATAGGTAGGTAGTAACCCTTTGGTATGATCCAGGTGAGTCCTATTAACACAACATAGAATTTGAAATATGTTAAAACTGACTCATAAAAAGAGCGTTCAATGTTTATTTTTATTAAACAGAGCAAACTTTCTTTACAATTGGAATTAAGATAGCTTTAGTTAATGACCATTTTTACTTAGTAATTTTAATTTTAAAATTTGCAGGATTTTTCAAGCTGTTTATGGTATCAGTTGTAATTTTCCAACTACAAGTAGAAGAATGGATATTAAAGTTTTTTCAGTATGACCAAGAAGTCTTAAGAAAAGACTATGTTTTGTTCAAATAAATATATCCTGAATACGCTAAAAGATACATGGGTGGGATATGCAGTGGACTTAAGATACAAATCTTTAGCGGGGTGACGATTATATTGTAGATTTATTAATTGTTTTTTGTTCTTTTATAAAATACATTGTTCTCTGGGGGCTAAGAAAGAAACGAGAACATCTTGTCTCTACGAAACCCTGCCGTATCCAGAGAGAAAAAACGGAGAGTATGTGCATTTTCCTTTTATAATGCTTATTAAAACGCCACCGAGAGGGCATTTCGAGAAGTTCACCGGAAGACAGAATGGAGTAATCCCACATATTTATTTAGGCACATACTTAATTGCCAACGACAGTCAATTTCTAACAGAAAAAGTGGAATCTCTCTTCAGAGCGTTGGCTATCATGGCTCGCAAGAACTTTCCTTTATTGAATATATGCAATATATATTTTTAGAAGAATTTCTCGGTGAATTCAGAGTTGATTTTCTTCTAGGCGTGTGCTGAACAAAGCTAGTATATTCACTTTTCTCTGCTATTTAACCTATAGATAGAGGAGCTCTTTTCAATGACATCATAGTGAAGTGACCACAAACTGTGTCAGCCAGAATTTGAACACGGTACAACGATTCCATTTATTTTGCTGTTAACCGCACCTTCAGGAATGGATTACCAGTTGGAAAACGAGATAATCCAATCAGAATCATGTTAGTTCTGATCTGCTTTAATACTCCATGAAGAAACAACCTACTTTCACTCACGCTAAAAAGGTAAACCCGAATAATAATATGGTAAATGAAAACCTTTCAGGAATTGAACGATGTGCCACGAGCATTAAATATCGCTAAATTTGGTGCACTGACCAAGCCTAGTATTCTGAATACCAACCACTAACGACTTCCTGATCATTCCAGCCTTCAAAGATCACAAGTTACCACGGTTTAAATTTTCCCTATTCAGTCCTTGTGTCAACGTATCAGTCTTTTTTAGTGAACGCTTGCGTAAAATGTTCCGGAGTTCAGCAGTTGTAATAGTCATTCAGATTTTTGCAATGCATCACATGATTTTCTTTAAGATTTGCGTGTACAATTGGTGGTCCACAGAGGATAGATAATGTCGATCTAATTGGAAACAGTTTATTTGTATTTTATTTTTGGTCTTAGATAATATTGTTGGCTTTCGTTCAGGATTCGTTTAGGAGCGGTCACAAAGAGAAGCTGACTTATTTCAAACGTGATATTAACCATGCGAACATTTACTTTTATTTTTTGTTGAATGTTTATTCTTAGCTAGTTTTTTTTTTTTTTTTATTAAATAAATTATGTAAATTAAATATCAAAAAACTACAGCAAAAATAAACGTAAACCTAAGGAATATCCGATATTTTAAAACTATTTTGAAATTGCATCTTACTTTACCCACATTTTCGACAACTTTACTTCTAAATGCCGCGTCTCTTTAGGACGTATGCAATCACGGCTCTTCACAATTTCCTTCCCTTTGCAACGCTTAATACATTTTGCATTTTTGTTATCTCTCCAAAACCTTCACCCACCATTCATTTACTTAAGCCCTACATTGTTTTCCTTTGTCCCTCGTGCCTTCAGTTTGTCCTGTGAGTATCAAATTTTCGAAGCCTTCTTTCCTCATTAACTGCCCTATAAATTTCAACTGTTTCTTCCTGACCTTAAGCATAGTGTCCTTTTTGTTGCCATTTTCTCTAATGCTTCGTCCGTCCTGGGTATGAAGATAAACTACGCCCAGCAGCAAGGCCTCTGATCAGGAGGTTTTGAAGAGCGTGGAGCCACCTCTTAATTGCTGGTGTTCCCAGGTCCACCCTGACCCAGGGTGGTAGCACCTGTTAGGGTCCCAGCTATGGGCAAATATTTAATTATTACCAGCAATACATATTTGAAAAAAAAATTATTCCCAGTAATACATTTTTGAAAGTAAAATATTACCAGAAACAGATTTTTGACCGAACAAAATATTACCAGGAATTAAAAAAATTTTTGGCATTAAATAACCCATTGAGGTTGATATGTCGTAAAATAAAACAAAGCAAAGCAAAACTAATGCTTCATCGTTGCTCACATTTTCCGTCCATGGTATTCTCAGCATCCTTCTGTAGAACCACAGTTCTGTTGCTTAAAGTATCTTCTTCATTTGTGAGAAGATTGTCCAGCATTCACTGACATATAGGAGAACTGATATTACGTAACAGATTTTTTTTTCTTTTTCTTAATAGTTTGCTTAGCTTTTAGAAAGCTTCTTTCGGTTTCGCTTTCCCAATAAGGTTTTGAGTTTCAGTGTCGTACTTTCCGCCCTCAGTTAGAATACTTCCCAGATATTTAAATTATTGTATTTGTTTGATTTTTGTAATTTGCATATTGGGCTGTTCCTTTTAAATTATTTTTTATTCCATCTTATGTGAATATTTTTTAATCGTCAATTTTTAATTCACGATTTCCGTTACAAGCATTCATTATGATCAATATTTTTTTATGCAAATTATTTTCGGAACATATATTCAGAAATAAATAAATTTCGAACAAATTATACTTTCAAAGCGATCTTGGATTGCTTGCAAAATAACAGCTCTGTTGTAGGAGACTCGGCTCAAATATCCCACCCAAATTATTCTAAAATATCTTTTATTTTATATAAGTATTATTGTTATCGGGCGATATATTTCTGCTAAGATACGTACATTTCTTTACATAAACACATATAAATATATGTGTTTGGGTGGCTTGTGCATTTACACAAGCATAGAAATATACGTAAAAATTTCAGAATACACTATTTAGCTAAAAAAATTCACTCGTGACTGAATTCATGAAATTTGTTAACATTTGTAGGTATCGGCATATATGATCCAAGCTTTGATTTGCTGAGATTAAACGACAGGTTAAAACATTTTTTTCTCAAAAGCAATATATATATATATATATATATATATATATATATATATATATATATATATAGGTACCATATACTGCCTCGAAAAAACCTTCGAATTTTGATTTGCCAATAATCAAATCAATCTCGAGGGTAAAAAAAAGGTTTTAAAAAAAGAATGAGCTAAAAACATGAAAGTCTGTCGAAAAAAATCGCACAGATACAGGTTCAAAGCCCAAAGAAAAAAAAACCAACACGAGTAAACAACTAACTAAAAAGAGCTCAATACAACCGTACAACAGCTTTCCCTGACGATCCGCTTAGGTAGGGTAGGTTTGTCTGGCTGACTATATATATATATATATAAGTTTTAAGATATATATATATATAAGGTTTAAGATTTAAGAAACAGCAGATATTTTTATATATAGTGATCAATATTAAAAATATTAAAAGAATATTAAAAATAGAGCGTTAATAATAATATATGAAATGATTACTTAACTTTTAAATATCAATCTTATCCTGACTTTGAAATTTCTTGGTAAAATTGCCAGTATTCAACCACTGACAACTGGAAATTTTATCAAGAAACTTCAAAATCGGTATAAAATTTATATTTAAAAGTTCAGTAATCTTTTTCATATAATATTATATATGTAGACACACACACACACACACACACACATATATATATATATATATATATATATATATATATAGATAGATAGATAGATAGATAGATAGATAGATAGATAGATAGATAGATGGATAGATAGATAGATGGATAGATAGATAGATGGCAATGAAAAGAGAAGGAATAAAGGGAGAAAATACGAAGAAGGAAACCTGTAATGGTGGTTGAACGAAACAAGAAAAAGAGTGACGGGGAAAGTAGAAATGTGCAATATTGAGAAGAAAGAGTGTAATGAACAAAGGATGAAAGGGAAGTTAACACAGACATAAAACAGAAAAATTGGAGCGTAGAATGAAAGTCTAGCAAGAAATGAAAATGAAGAATGTTATTAAGATAGATAGAAGATGTAGGGGAAAAGTAAAAATAATGACGAAGTAAACCAAAAGTAAAATGTATCAAAGGTCGCCATGTAGCAACAAGAATGAAGGATGACACGAAGGAGTTTTTATTCTTAACTTTCTCCGCATCAGCAAAAGCAATGCAAAGAAAAACAGCAAAACTACGAGCGGACCAAGTCTAAACGACTTATTCACCGGAGATGGCGTTGGTAAGCAAAGTAGTACAACGGCGAGGGATGGGGTAAAATTCGGCTCGGGGCGACACGATGCAGTCATGACGGGTGGTGTGGAGTTATGTCATGGGTGAAGCATCTTCTTTAAACAGTGGCCCGATCATTCAACAATGTCGATAGGTCCGAGTAACATCGGCGCTGACAGAAATCAAAGTTCCATCAATCACGTGTCATAAGAGATGAAGACTTTGGCCCAGACCAAGCCCGGCACTTGTCAGAAAATATCTCACTGCGTTGGCCAGTTCTAGCGGAAGCACGAGATTCTCATTCTGCGCGTGATTTGCCGGTCGAGATTCGAGAAATATGTCGAGACGAGGTGTAGAGGGGCGGAAAAGATGAAAAAGGAATATTGCTGTCCTGACGTTGGGTATCATTTTCAGTAAGCGGGGGGAAATAAATAGAAATGTATAATAAGCCTACGCCCGGGTTATTTTTTTCCAGTGTATTGGTCGCTATTAACGTGTGTTTTACTTCTCGACAATGCTATCTATTGTATAACAATGGATGCTGGATATGAAGCGGATTGCGCAAAATGTTCACGTGTGATTCTTTCGATATACTTATCGAAATTCACATTCAGATAGTTAATGTAGAAATATTGGATCGTGCTGGTAAACAATGTAATGGAGATATGCTATACATACTCGAGAGATGTTGAAAACTTTTCGGTTAAGCCATTTCCTAAAACATGCATTAAACAATCAGCCGTGTGTGTGTAGGTGAGAACAGTATATTGTCTCTACAGCGTGATCAGCACTATACCACTATATACTTAGAAAAGCGTATTTATCAAAGCTCCTTGATCCAATTGATATTCTCTATTAAAGAATGCCTTGGATTAAATCAACTCTCTATTTTTTTGCCGTATCATCACCCAATGGCAAAATTGTTCCGCCGGTATTTGAAATTAGTTGTGCATCTCTTGAATTTTGGGAGCCAAAGGCTGGCAAATACACACACACACAATATATATATATATATATATATATATATATATATATATATATATATATATATATTATTGTTTCACCCCAAACAAGGCGGAAAGCCACTAGGACGCAAGGGTTTACAGAAAATTTGGAGCAAAATCAGATAGGAGTGATAGAAGAAAGGATGAGGAAAAGAGTAGTGGATAGATCAAGGCAACTGGAAATACAGAGGCCAGTGTGTGTGTGTGTGTGTGTGTCTGAGAGAGAGAGAGAGACAGAGAGAGACAGAGAGACAGAGAGAGAGAGAGAGTACTGAAACCCCATCCTAAACAAGTAACAAGGCGTAAGCCTCTACCATGTCCAAGAGAATGGTCAGTATATATATATATATATATATATATATATATATATATATATATATATATATATATATATATATATATTTATATATATATTTCCAAGAGGATAGAATCCAGGTAGAGCTCAATATACAGGAGAGAATAAGAATATGATATAAAGGCTCAAACACGATCCAATTCATCAAACCTTTTTGAATTTTTAGGTCTGATGAACTGTATCGTGAATTACGATTCGAATGTAATAAATTATAACCATGGAATACTAGTGTTTGAGCCTTCTATATTATATATATATATATATATATATATATATATATATATATATATATATATATAGTTTAGTTTTATTATGATTTTTCTTGTTAACCTGATGGATTTGAAAATCCTTGTAATTTAATTTCCATTTAAAAGGTGAAATGATCATCAGAAATATTATGGAGGAATCCTAATTCCTATTGTTTATAATTTATATGCTCTATTTACATAAAAACATTGAGCTCTTCCTGTGAATCAGTTTTAATATTTTATCTTATATTACATTCATAGGATTCACTTGGATTATATATCAACTGAATTTCATATATATATATATATATATATATATATAATTTTTTATAATGACTGATATACTAATATATATATATATGCATTGATAGCGAGATCAATAAGCCTAATGATATAAATACGATTTATTTAACATGAAATGACAAGAAAACTAAATTAAAATTAAAAAAATTTTATCCATTTTTTTTTATTTCAAATGATTATTTCTTCTATAAGTTGACTATTATACAGTGAAAACTTCAATTGTATAACTACGTGGCCAACTGAGAACTTACTGATTCTCGAATATATATATATATATATATATATATATATATATATATAATCAGTTCTGAAAGATATAGTAAATAAAGTAAAGGAATAATGAGAGAGGATGAAGTGAAACCCCGCACCTGCCTTTAACAACATATTAAGGATTAAGGAGATATCTACTTTTTCTGCAAGAAAGAGTGCCAATAATCACCCACCCACAGCAAAAATCATTACTAAACAAAAGATTGGAACTAATCTCAACATGCAGACACAAAATCTATTACGGGTCAAACCAAACGGATAACACCAATAACAAAACCTGCACACAAACGAGAACGAACCTACTGAAACAATGGTAGAACACTAAACCATCAGAACACTAAAACTACCAAAACATAACCAAAAGGAAAAACTAACAGTACCAGTACTGTTAACAAAACTACCCCCACAAACACAACCACCGCCAAAACAAATAGCATAGACATCACGACAGATATAACCATTCCCACTCCAAACTTATTATTTTGTGACTACTACTATTACTATCAATATTAGTATTGTTGTTACCACTTTTAGAACCATTAACTTATAACCTTCACTACCACCATTAGAAGTTATTATTATTATTATTATTATTATTATTATTATTATTATTATTATTATTATCATCTTTGATTTCTGGCGTTTACACATTTCTTTTCGGGTCCCGCCTAGGGACCTAAGGTTAGAAATGTCATCATGACACTTTCCACTGACAAAAAATTACATAGACAAAGCCCTTCGTAAAGTGTGGGCTGTACTTGTCAGAAAAATTTGTTGTATCTCTTCGAGGCATGGACTGCCAGGAATCCCTTCAATTAGTCTACTGGAATATTTTCCAACCAATCCTAGGGCTACAACTACAGCAGGGATTTTTGATGTTCCTATATGCCACATTTTCGAGATTTCTATTTCAAGGTCCTTGTATTTTGACAGCTTTTTGAATATCTTCAAAGATACATTGCAGTCAGCAGGGACTTCCATATCAATAAGGTGGCACTTTTTTTGTTTGTGGTATTTTATAACAATGTCTGGGCGGTTGGCTTTGATTGTTCTGTCAGTGTGTATTGTGTAGTCTCATAGAATTGTAACAGGTCCTATCTCCCTAACCGGGTCTGGGTGGTGTTCATACCATTTTCTTTCAGTTTCCTTCCAGTGCAGATATTGGCCCACTCTGCCATGCCGGGTTTTATACTGCATTTTTCTTTGCTGTCTTTTTTAAGTATTATTATTATTATTATTATTATTATTATTATTATTATTATTATTACCTCAACTTATCATTGTCATTATTACCTTTCTATTATTTTATTATTTGATTTATTTATTTATTTTTTATTTATCATTATCTCTTTTTATGTTGTTATCACTGTTATTATTGCTGTTATTATGATTGTTTCCATCATTATTAGGGATAACTTTATCGTTCATCGTAACTAATAACATATCAATTATTATTGATATATCAATAACAATATCACAGCTAATATTGCCATTAACATAATTACAATCGTTAATAACACAGCTGCAGTTATTGTTGTTAAAAATACAAAAACAATCGCCATATCTACAGAACTTAACCCACGTGGAGGTAATAGACACTAATCAATGAGTGTGGGTGTTCCTGTACATATGTGTGTATGTGTGGTGTCCATGTGATTATGTCTGCCGACACAAACAGCCGATCTGAAAAACGTCAAAGTCGCCCCCACCTGTACGCTACGAAGAGAACATTGCTAAATATGAATCGCTGCAATCTTTACATCGAAATAGATAGAATGAAAATAGCATACATACGTGCACTCGTGCGTATGGATGTATAACTGCGCCTAATCCAAGATTATATATAATATGGGCGTTAATTACACTAAATAAAAAAGTGGTCTATACAAACCCGTGCAACTACTAAGTTTGACGCTTGCCCTACAAAGAAAATACGTCGTATTTAAAAGATCAATTATATATATATATATGTATATATATATATGTATATATGTGTGTGTGTGTGTGTGTGTGTGTGTGTGTGTGTGTGTGTGTGTGTGTAATTAATGCAAATGTCACTGTGTCACAATTTTCAAAACCTACAGGCCGATTTTGGAATCAGGCCGACTCCGTGAGCAAATTAAAAACATTGCGGGCCGTATCCGGACCCGCAAACCTGAAATTTTGGATCACCAATTTTTCTTTACTGCAATTGTTTCCAGTGATTTTTTACAAACGAATTTTTTGTACCACAAACAAGTTACAAGTTTTCTAACTCGGAAATAAATTTAGAAATAATCGAAACTAATTGCGAAATCCGCGAAAGGCCCCCATGAAATAAAAAAATAATTTTGTACAGAAAGTAAGGAACTACGTAACTCAAATTAGCTTTGAATTAATTTGCAACAGGAGAATTTTATTATATATATATATATATATATATATATATATATATATATATATATATATATATATATATATATATATATATATATATATATATATATATATACACACAAAGATAAAAAGAACAGACAGATTAAAATCCACAGGAAAGAATTTATATATACATATTGTAAATCCAAAGTTAAACTGTTTCGCTGTAACACAGCTCTTCAGTGTGCTTAGAAGTCGGATGGCTTCAAGCCGGGATCGAAACACAACCTAATTGGAATACACTGAATGATCCTACGACTTTCGTCGCACGCCAGGCAAAAAGGGAAATTTTAACGTTTTCTATACGAAATACACCAGTGGCACGGAGAGGTCAATTCAGTTGAAGAGCAACACAACACACATGCACACACACACACATGCACACACACACACATATATATATATATATATATATATATATATATATATAATTTCTTGATAATGACTGATGCCAGATAAAAATTGGACATTCTATTTTAATTTTATTACTTTTTTTTCTTTTTTCAGGCATTCTTACATTTTTTCTGTTTAAGAATTCTGGAAAACTAAATAAAAAAAATTATTTTCTATCATATTCAACATATTTAAAAGAAAGGTTGTTGTCCTAATATATATATATATATATATATATATATATATATATATATATATATATATATATATATATATATCTGAAGCCTGTCAAGAATACAACAGAATTTACGCACTCCCTGTATACTTGTATCACATATCTTGATGCATATGTAGTTTATACATTTTTGAAATAGAGAAGTTGTTTTGTTGTTGGTCACTTTCTAAACATTCCTGCTCTCTTTCTATTCTTGGCAATATTTAGAAAATAATCTGGATTTTAATCACGTATGTGAAAATCGAAATGCTAAGAGAAAAGCGGAAATAGGATAAACTGAAGGAGAATGAATGGTGGAGGGTAATAAAAACACGACGCCGAAGGAGATGACAAAAGAAAAACGTGGAAATATATGCAAATTTAAAGAAAAAAGTGGACTGTGAAAAAATGACAAATGAGAAGGAAATGGTATAAACAAAATATGTAGACAGAAAGAAGAACAGTCTATCGAGACGGGCCTCGACAGTAGTATGACTGTTAACAATCGTGTCTCGCAGACTAATTTCCTCTTATAGGTTAGTCCGATCCTCTTTGGGAACTTCATTACTATAGCGATGCAGTAGATTATATTAAGCATAGTAAGTAAGCATGAAGAAGAAGAACTGAAAAAGTACAAAAGGGTCGAAATGGAAGTGGTGAAGAAAAAGAGAAATGATGAAGAAATGTAGACGTGAAGAAGAAGAAGAAGAAGAAGAAGGGAAGTGGTGAAAAAGAAGGGACGTGGTGAAAAAAAGAAGAGAAGTGGTGAAGAAGAAGAAGAAAAAAGAACTGAGGTGGGAAAGAAAGAAAGAAAGAAAGAAAGAAAGAATGTATTGAAGAAGAGGAAAAATAGAAGGAGGAAAAGGACGGAAATGGTGATGAAGAAGAACGGAAATGGCGAGGAAGAAAAAGAGGATGAACAGAAGTGGAAAAAAGAGAATAACGTGAACGATAAAAAAGAAGACTCAGTAGGGAAGAAGAGAAAGAAAGGAAGAAGAAGAAGAAGAAGAAGAAGAAGAAGAAGGAGGAGGAGGAGGAGGAGGAAGAGGAGGGAAGCGACAGAGAAGGAGAATAAGAAGGGAAGAGTTAATAAAGAAGAAAAAGAAGATGGGAAGCGATAAGAAGAAGGAAAGCGATAGAGAGGATAATGAAGGGGAGGAATAACGATAAAGAACAAGTAAAGAAAAAGAAGGGAATAATTGAGAAAGAAGAAGAGAAAAAATATGGAAAAAGAAGAAGAAATGAACTAAGGAAAAAGAAGATAGGGAGCCGTAAAGAGAAAGAAGAAAAAGAAGGCGGGAAGTGATAAGAAAGAAGAGGAAAAGAGAAGTCGTGAAGAAGAACAGAAGTGGATAAAAAAGAAAAATGGAAGCTACAAAAGCAAATGAAGGGAAGCGATAAGGAAAAAGAGAAAGAAGAAAAGTGATAAGGAAGAAGAGGAAGAAGAAAAGCGATAAGGAAGAAGAGGAAGAAGAAAAGCGATAAGGAAGAAGAGGAGGAAGAAAAGCGATAAGGAAGAAGAGGAAGAAGAAAAGCGATAAGGAAGAAGAGGAAGAAGAAAAAGGATAAGGAAGAAGAGGAAGAAGAAAAGCGATAAGGAAGAAGAGGAGGAAGAAAAACGATAAGGACGAAGAGGAGGAAGAAAAGGATAAGGAAGAAGAGGAGGAAGAAAAGGATAAGGAAGAAGAGGAAGAAGAAAAGGATAAGGAAGAAGAGGAGGAAGAAAAAGGATAAGGAAGAAGAGGAAGAAGAAAAGGATAAGGACGAAGAGGAGGAAGAAAAGGATAAGGAAGAAGAGGAGGAAGAAAAGCGATAAGGAAGAAGAGGAAGAAGAAAAGGATAAGGAAGAAGAGGAGGAAGAAAAGGATAAGGAAGAAGAGGAAGAAGAAAGCGATAAGGAAGAAGAGGAGGAAGAAAAGCGATAAGGAAGAAGAGGAAGAAGAAAAGCGATTAGGAAGAAGAGGAGGAAGAAAAGGATAAGGAAGAAGAGGAAGAAGAAAAGCGATAAGGAAGAAGACGAAGAAGAAAAGCGATAAGAAGAAGAGGAAGAAGAAAAAGCGATAAGGAAGAAGAGGAGGAAGAAAAGATAAGGAAGAAGAGGAAGAAGAAAGCGATAAGGAAGAAGAGGATGAAGAAAAGCGATAAGGAAGAAGAGGAAGAAGAAAAGCGATAAGGAAGAAGAGGAGGAAGAAAAGCGATAAGGAAGAAGAGGAAGAAGAAAAGCGATAAGGAAGAAGAGGAGGAAGAAAAGCGATAAGGAAGAAGAGGAAGAAGAAAAGCGATAAGGAAGAAGAGGAGGAAGAAAAGCGATAAGGAAGAAGAGGAGGAAGAAAAGCGATAAGGAAGAAGAGGAGGAAGAAAAGCGATAAGGAAGAAGAGGAGGAAGAAAAGCGATAAGAAGAAGAGGAAGAAGAAAAGCGATAAGGAAGAAGAGGAGGAAGAAAAGATAAGGAAGAAGAGGAGAAGGAAGAAGAAGAGGAGGAAGAAAAGGATAAGGAAGAAGAGGAAGAAGAAAAGATATGAAGAATAAGGAAGAAAAGAGGAGGAAGAAAAGGAAGAAAAGGAGGAAGAAGAGGAAGAAGAAAAGCGATAAGGAAGAAGAGGAGGAAGAAAAGCGATAAGGAAGAAGAGGAGGAAGAAAAGCGATAAGGAAGAAGAGGAAGAAGAAAAGCGATAAGGAAGAAGAGGAGGAAGAAAAGCGATAAGGAAGAAGAGGAAGAAGAAAAGTGATAAGGAAGAAGAGGAAGAAGAAAAGCGATACGGAAAAAGAGAAAGAAGAAAAGCGATAAGGACGAAGAAGGAAAGTGGTAAGGAAGAGAAAAACGAAGAACGGAAGCGGTAACGAAATGTAAGAAGAACAAGGAAGGAAAAGTGATGCACTAAAGAAGAAAAACAAGAAGAAAAAAGAGGTAAACAAAAAGGAGGAGGAAGTACAAGAAGAATGGTAGCTGTAAAGAAGAAAAAGAATAGAAGCGGTAAAGAAAAAAAATAATCTAATGTAAAGAAGAAGAAAATCACAGAATGGTGAATGAGAATAAGTGGAAAATAAAGAAAAATAAGGTACTGAGAATGGATGCTATTGAAGAACGAAGAAGAAAATTCACGAGAAAGATATTAAAAAAAAAAGATAAAAGACAAATAAGAAAAGATATGAAAACAATCGGATGAAGAATATAACAAGGATGACAAGGAAAATTCGGGAAATAACCTCACAGGAAACATAACAAATGAAATGCAAAAAGAAATTAAAAAAAAAACATGGTCGAATAAGCAGTCGAACGGATAATGGAAAGTGACAGATGAAAAGATGAAAATATAATCAAAGTAGAAAAAATAGAGAAAAAATAAATGGAAAGAAAGTAAAAAAATGAGGAAGAAAACAATCTGAATATAAGAAAAATACAATTACGCTTGACAGAATGAGTAAACAAATCATTCTTTCAAATACAGCGATCGGAGATCAAAGCAAGGAGAAAGAAGATAAGCGAAAACATGATGGAAAAAAATGAAAAGGAAATATATTTCTTTGTAGAGAGGACGTACAAGAGAGTGATATTAAATACAAGTAATTAGAGAAAAAATACAAGCTGAGAAAACAATATGTCTTGCAAAGAGGAGAAAATTGATATGAATTAAAAAAGAAAAACCAAAACAAATATGGCAGTGTCAAGAGTCGGAAAAAATCGTGTATGGTTCACCTCTTTTAATCAAACCTAAAACACTTGACTGATATTTCCACTTGGAAGGAGAGAACCACTAAGTAATATTCCAACTTATGTCTTTCATCATTATTGTTTTTGTTTTTTTTTTCTTTCCTGCTATTTCATATTTTACACAAAAACTTCAAATAAATCGCCCTATTTATTTCTAAAATGAAGTCCTGTCACATCCCTATGAATTAAGTTACAAGCATGTGTTCACCTGCATTCACGAACATTTATATATTTTTATATATGTATGCTCACAGACCTTACCACTGGGTAGAGAAAGGTTTTAATTTATATATATATATATATATATATATATATGGGTTAAGTCTGACAATTATTTCTATCTATAAAAGGCAGGATGTGTGTGTGTGTGTGTGTGTGTGAGAGAGAGAGAGAGAGAGAGAGTAACGAATGCACGGCCGCAATTTTCGACAGATTTGCACCAAAATTTACATGCATATGCTCCAAGTTATGGGGAAGGCCAAGACCGACTTAGCATTTCCCAACTTCCATCGATAGTGGAAATAATCCATTTTTTCATGCTTCTACGACACTTTTTATGTAGTGTGCGGCCATTTTGTACTGGCCAGAGTGAGAGCCAATAGCTGGCTGCCACGAATAGGCAGGAAGATTCTATTGGCCAGCGTGAGAGCCAACAGCTGACTGACACGAATATTAACTAGCATGCTAGCATGCAAAAAAAATCGATAGCTGCATTCGTCACAAGTGGGAAAAATTTAAATCTGCATGGCACATTTGCTTGCTTAAACTCATCGTTGATTCTGATTCCGCAGAACTTGGTTGGCTGTGAAAAATTATTTGTTATTAACATTCTTTTTTCATTCGGTTTTTCCAGTTACGAGTCCTTTTTTAAAGCTGACCGTTTTGTGTTCATTTTGTTTAGTTCTTTTTTCCTAACAGATTTAATGTTTAGTATAGAGCTTAGAAAAAATTCGCAGTGTGAGATAGGCAAGAAGTAAGGCATGTAGCAACATCAGCACGGCAAAGGGCACTCCTTTAAAGGCAAGGAAGGGCAAAAATATTTTAAGTCAAGTGATAGCAATTACTGTATGAGTCGTACGGTTTTTTAATCAAGCACGGGCAACGCCGGGTCATGTTGCTAGTTTAATATATTTTTCTGTTTATACGTTATTTTTATAGATACAATTTATTTAAGTCAATGAACTGTTTTTTTAATTAAACAGTATTAATTACATTTACGAGGCTAACGTACTATACCATTTAGCTACAGAAAGGCCGATAAATGCAATTAATTAAAAACGGAGCATTTACTTAAATAAATTGTATCTATAAAAATAACGCAGAAAAGAATATATATATATATATATATATATATATATATATATATATATATATATATTCTGTATATATATATATGTATATTCTGTTTATGTATATATATATATATATATATATATATATGTATATATATATATATATATATATATATGTATATATATATATATATATATATATATATATATATATATATATATATATATATATATATATATATATATATATATATATATATATATATATATATATATAAATATAAAGTATCACCTTGAAGTGATCCTGGTCATGTATTTTTTACTTGACCTCCAGATTTTTAAACTTAAAAAGCTCTATATGTTTTTTTTTCTCACGTGTATTGAGCACTTTTAATACTACTGTTTTCTAATTCGACTCTGCCTATTAACCTTCATATATATATATATATATATATATATATATATATATATATATATATATATATAGTCCATACACAGACTATTTCACTGCTATTCCGGGTGACTTGACAGCATATTGCTTTAGCATAGGAATTCGACCGATTTGACATCAGTCGGAGACTTTTACCACTGGGCTATCGGCGAACGCTACGCAGAAAGGTAATTTCTAACGGATTTTATACGTGATATAAGCATTAACATCTGCTAGAGTACTCTATTCATTGCGAAAAGCCGTCAAATACTATTTCGTCCAAAGTGCTCCATCGACGAACAACATATATATGTGTGTGTGTGAGAGAGTGAGTGAGTGAGTGAGTGAGTGAGTATGTGTGTGTATAAAATGAATTGCATTTCGGCAGGAATAACTCCCTCAGACATGCTTGGCTAAATAATATGGACAAGTTCTATCAATTATTTTTTTATTTAATTTTTTATATTTTTGAATTAGTTCTTTTTTGTTATCGGTCAATTTGCCAACGTTCATATTTATTTTTATTTTATATTATATTTCTTTCCGGGCAATTTCGAATCTTACTGCATTTGTTCTTATGGATTGTTCTGTGCATTTATTTTTTATTTTTATTTATTTATTTTTTTTTTTTTTGTAATTTCGGCGTTTTCACGTTTGATGGAATCATTCTCAGGTCACTCAAGGCCTAAACTGACGTCATTTCTATATGAACGTTTATCAGTTTAAACGTTATTTTTAGTGGATACGCATATTTGAGTAGAAGTTCTGTTCATTTATTAAACAGTATATTTATTTATTGTCGTCTACCAGCTTGAAGATTTGAGAAATATCATTAAATAAAAAATATGCACCCTCCGACAGGATTCGAACCTGCGTCAACAGACATGTCAGTGTTTAATTCTCTAAACATTCTTTCCACATTACGTCTCATCTCAGCTATGCTTTGCTAATTGTTAGCAACAATGCACTTCTTAAACCACATCGTTTCTCACATCGCCTATGCGTGTGACTGGAAGTTGTTTGACGATGGCTTTATATAAAGCGTTGTCTGTATTTGAAGAGGACTTTTAAAAGTTGATGATTGAAAATAGAATTATGCTATTTCGCTCAACGACCATTCTTGCTTGCTACCGAGAAGATAAAATGAGATAATTATTACAAATTGGCGAAAGAGTTCAGGGAAGTGCGAATTCATAATTTTCTTAAAGCCATTAACGCCACACTTGGAGAATGGAAACTGTCAACTCATTTCACTGGTCCTCAGTCAATTATATCGACTTGAACTTCGGAATTTCAATTCGACTAACACGCACGCATATATATATATATATATATATATATATATATATATATATATATATATATATATATTCAACAGTACTTTCAAGAAATCTAATCATGAGAGCTGTCGCTATAGCTTTTGAGCTACTAGTAACAATAGTTGCGCAAGATAAAAACTTACCTTATAGATAAATCATTATTTTCGATCCTCAGTCTTTACTCATAACCGGAGAATGACGGTTTGGAGAACTGTATTGTGAAGCAATTGATTGGTTTGGTTTGCTTTGCTTTGGTTTCGTTACGGCATATCCACTTCAATCGGTTATTTAATGCCGACAATTTTTTATTGCTGGTAATATTCGTTTTCAAAACGTATTTCTGGTAATATTTTTTTCAAAAATGTATTGCTGATAATATTTTTTTCAAAAAATATTACTGGTAATAATTTTTTCCTTCAAAAATGTATTATTGGTATTAAAACCTATTTTCACACTTTTAGTGTTTGGACCCCATTTTGGAGCTTAACTATTTGCCCGTAGCTGGGATCCTAACAGGTGCTACCAACACAGGTCAGGGTGAACCTGGGAACAACAGCAATTAAAAGGTGGTTCCACACTCCCCAAAACCTCCTGCTGCCAGATGTAGTTTATCGTCTTCCCCAGGATGTTGAAGCAATTGATATTATGGTTAAAGAAGTGCCATATGTAAAAAATCAGTTGCTGTCTATGTTCTGTCTTAAGTAATCAATATTACTACTACAAATAGATTATTTTTTTTTTATTATGAACCGTTTCCCTTGGGACCATAGAGGATCATGTGCCTCCACAACCTCCCGATTATTGTTGCTCTAAGAAAGTGTTATCTCCTTACTGCCCCCTCTCTTAGTTTTAGCATCAATTTGCACAAGCTCATTAAGTTTCTTTCGCTGTTTCTATCTCTTGTCTTCAATGAGTGTCAAATTCTCCAAGCCTTCTTTCCTTATTATGTAACCCAGAAAGATAAACCGTTTCTTTATGATTTTAAGTACTAGTGTACTTCTTGTTACAATTTTCTTTAGGTCATACCCGTTACCCACATGTTCCGTCCATGCTATTCTTAGTCTTCTTCAGTGGAACTGCAAGGAAAGTTGTGTCACTGTATCATACCAGAAAATCTTTCTCATCAGAATTCATCTTGTACATTTATAAATCTACCATTCTTCCGTTCAATAAATACTGTTGTTATATTTGGTCTGGTGCTTCTGCTGTACATCACAAGATTTTTGACAAAATCCAAAGAAGGATCTCTAACGTAATGTATCCTGGCCTGGCATCTCAAATCCTGTAATGTATTCTGACCAGGCATCTCAAATCCTGTAATGTATTCTGACAAGGCATCTCAAATCCTGTAATGTATCCTGACAAGGCATCTCAAATCCTGTAATGTATCCTGGCCAGACATCTCAAATACTGTAATGTATTCTGACCAGGCATCTCAAATCCTGTAATGTATCCTGGTCAGACATCTCAAATCATGTAATGTATCCTGGCCAGATATCTCAAATACTGTAATGTATTCTGACCAGGCATCTCAAATCCTGTAATGTATTCTGACCAGGCATTTCAAATCCTGTAATGTATCCTGGCCAGACATCTCAAATCCTGTAATGTATTCTGACCAGGCATCTCAAATCCGGTAATGTATTGTATACTGGCCAGACATCTCAAATACTGTAATGTATTCTGACCAGGCATCTCAAATCCTGTAATGTATCCTGACAAGGCATCTCAAATCCTGTAATGTCTCCTGACCAGGCATTTCAAATCCTGTAATGTATCCTGGCCAGACATCTCAAATCCTGTAATGTATCCTGACAAGGCATCTCAAATCCTGTAATGTATCCTGGCCAGACATCTCAAATACTGTAATGTATTCTGACCAGGCATCTCAAATCTTGTAATGTATCCTGACCACGCATTTCAAATCCTGTAATGTATCCTGACCAGGCATTTCAAATCCTGTAATGTATCCTGGCCAGACATCTCAAATACTGTAATGTATTCTGACCAGGCATCTCAAATCCTGTAATGTATCCTGACCAGGCATCTCAAATCCTGTAATGTATTCTGACCAGGCATCTCAAATCCTGTAACCTTCTCAACGAGGTGACGTAGGTTTCTCCCTGTCTTTTCTACAAATATTTTCATGGCAACTTCTCTGACGAGCCTTTTCTCCTGATGCTCTGGCTACATGAAATTGAGCGTCTAAGTGATTAGCACCCAGTTCCCACCCGTTTACTGTTGAAATAGTAAAATGTAACAACCACTTCTACACTAAAAGTTTCTTTTCTCGCACGTTCCACCTGTGGATATTTCTTCCGTCTACTTTCTACCCTGATAATTACAATCTTCAAAAATTTAAATGCAACATCAATCGCCGTCTTTTGTTCTTACCTCTCTGTCTTTTCTACAAATACTTTCATGGTAATTGCTCCGATGAGCTGCTTTCACTGGTTCCCAGACTCCAAGAATCCTACTAGGCTGGCATCCCACTCCCACGCTCACACTGTAGAGACTTTTAAATGTAGCCGTCTCTTCTACTCCAATAGCTTCATACCTCGCACCTCTTGCTTGTGGAACACCCTTCCCAATTACTGTTTCCCTGAGAGCTATAATCTCCAACTATTCAAATGTAATGTCAATCGACATCCCCAGTTACCTTGATCTATCCACTATCCTCCTTCTCATCCTTTCTTCTATCACTCCTATCCGCTCTCGCTCCAAATCTTCTGCAACCCCATGCATCCTAGTGACTTCACGCCTTGCTCGGGGCGTAATGGTTAAAAAAAAATCATCCCTATTCTCAGTCTTCCCTTTCACTGCCTGTAGCCACCTGCGTATTAGTGACATTTTATCCTTGCTTGGGGTGACATGATTAAAAAAAGAACCACATGTGTTTCTCTGAGTCTCGTTTACAATAAAGACGTGTGCTTAAAAAAACAATAACACCAAATAAAGCGCTAACAAGCCATCGGGAAAATAAGCAATCATGTTACATGATTAGATTTGATATTCTACACTTGCTGGCTCAAGTAGCTTAACTAGTAAATCAACTGTCGTGAATATTAAAACGGATTAGATTTCTTTCCTTGCTTCAAGCTTTACTTTTTTTCCAATCATTATTGTTCGTTATTTCCCGGAGAATGACGAATTGACTTATTGCAGTGCTAAGCAGACGATACTGATCTTTTATTTAAGTCAATAGGTCCGTTTTGTTTTAATAATTCTTAGTGAATTTCTCTTGTTTTCTTAAATAGAAGGTATTTTGTAAAATTGAAAACACTTGTTAGATAAATATATGTAGCTGGGGAGTGAGAATTATTTCCTTTAACTTGTCACATGTCGGGTTAGACGTTTGTGATAGATTGATAAGTAAGGATTCGGAATTGAAGGAAACAAGGAAAGAAAAAAAAGAAAGGATATAGACAGATAGCTTAGATAGATTACAATTCGGATAGAGAGGAAAAAGGAAAGAAAGAACCAGGTCTATCAAGTCGATAAAGAGATATTTATCTATATAGAATATGTTACTTTACCAATCTGTCAGCCCTCATTTCAATGTACAATTCCAAGAAAGAGACAATTTTCTCACAAACGGCTGTTTTGCATTTGCTTTGTCCATGGATATTTACCTAACGGCCATTATTTGGCGGGAATCTTTTTATGGTGGAGAAAAGGAAATAGCGGGAGATTTGATGGCGCCAATCAAGGCAAAGACGAAGATAAACAATATGGCTACAGGGTTGATTGTAACGACAGAATATTGTATTTACCATCAAGCGAGCTGATTATTTTTCATGGCGTGTAGAAGGCTCTTTCGATTGTCTGCACTCTCGCATTAGCCTTGAGTTTCCTGCCAACAACCCTTATTCCCCTCCACATGCCAGGATTTCTTTCTCGAATTCCCTGTCTAATTTAGGTTTGAGGCGCCGTATAGGCGTAAGTTTGGACAACAGGTTAGCCGAGGTCAGATCACTCACGACATACCATTACAAGGTTAAATGAATACCCTTCACTATTTCATTGTTTCTTTCATTCTCTATCTCTTTTTCTTTCTTTCTCTTTTATTTTCCCCTCTCATCTTTTCAAGTACTTTCTCCCTTTATATATTTCTATTTAATTTTTCTCTTGTGACTTCTTATTGTTTTTCTAGTTTTCTTTTCTTTCAAATCTTTTCTTTCCTTTTCGTTGTTCTTCCATTTTAAATTTCTTTTTGTTTCCCTTTTGTATCCACTCACTTCCGTTTCTTTCTAATTAATTCAACAGTCTTTCATTTGGTATATCTTCTCTGCTAATTCTTGGTTTCCATCGTACATTTGTATATTCACGCTATTTCCGAAGCTTAGTTTAGAACAGAACAAGGTTAAATAAGCTATGTCAGCCATGATTAATTTTTGAATAGTATTTCTGCCATCTTAATTTTAGTTGCTATTAAATGCAACTATACATTTCGTCATTCTATAAGGAACAGATTTTAAGAAATGACTGAGACGAGACTCGAACTCCCATCCATTCTCCTCTTCATGATAACAGGCGCAAAATTAAATCTGACTTTATAAACTCTGCTTATTTGCCAGATCACTTTACAGCGTCCTATATGGTGTTATTGTTTTGTTTTTACGTTCACTAGTCGTATTTGCTTCTATAGAAGAATAATAAAAATTCCATGGACGGAGCGAGTGATCAACAAGGAAGTCAAAACGAAAACAGTAATATCTCGTCTACATTCACTTTCTCACAGACGCGCCGTCGCCTCTCTCTGTCTGTTTTACAAATACTTTCATGGCAATTGCTCCGAGGAGTTGCATTCGCTGGTTCCCAGACTTCATGAGTTCAAGCGCCCTACGAGGCTGGCATCCCGCTCTCACCCCTTCACTGTCGAAACTCTTAAATGTAGCCGTCTCTTCTACTTCAATTGCTTCATGTCTCGCACCTCTCGCCTGTGGAACTCCCTTCCCTATTCCAGTTTCCCTGAGAGCTATAATCTCCAGCTATTCAAATGCAATGTCAATCGACATCTCCAGTTGCCTTGATCTATCCACTACCCTTCTCCTCATCCTTTTTCCTATCACTCCTATCTGATCTTACTCCAAATCTTCTGTAACCCCCTGCGTGCTAGTGGCTTCCCGCCTTGCTTGGGGTGAAACGCTTAAAAAAAAAGAAAGAAAAGAAAACTACACAGACTCAGGAAAGACAGCTGAAATTATGTGTTCCTTGGACACATGATGAGGAAACAAGAGGCTTAACCATCTTTTTCTTTTTATGTGCCGTGTCCTTTCAGGACGTAGACGATCATGGCCCTCCACTTCCGCCTATCAATTATGGCTCTCAATAAGTTTCTTGGCTCTGCTATCCACTTGCTTAAGCACGTCATGCGTTGCTTTCCCTTGTCTCTTTTTTCCTCTTTTCGACCTGTGAGTATCAGATTCTCCAGGCACTCCTTTCTCATTACGTGTCCCAGAAATTCCATCTGCTTCTTCATTATGTTAAGTATAAACTTCCTCCTTGTTTGCATGATTTCCAAGACCTCACACGCTCGTTCCATGATATCCTTAGCCTCCTTCTGTGCAACCACATCTCTATCACATTTTCATCATCTTTTAGGAGACCGCGCAACATTCGCTGGCATATAGGAGGACAGATGTGATATAGCGGCTAAGTACTCTTTTTTTTTTTTTTTTTTTGTCACCAAAGAAGTCATCCTGCCTCGCGGTGCTCTGACCAGATTTTGGAATGCATCCTTGGCCATCCCATCCGTCTTCGGATCTCAGCGTCGCATATACCGTCCTCCGTCAAAACACTTCCCAGATGTTTAAACTTCCACACATGCTTGATTTTAGTGTCCCCGACCTGCCATCATGAGGCATATTCAGGGCAAGGGAGATGAATAAATCAGCGATTCGCTTATCTGTGGAACTTGTGCGAATGGAAGGGGAAAAACTGCGGAGAACAACAATGGATAGGAAGTTGTGGAGAGCCATGAACGCTTACGTTTTGAAGGGATACGGCATATAGAAGAAGTGTTAGCATTTGTATGTTATATTGATTTCTTTAGATATAACATCATCGACCATTATTAATTTTTGACAAGTATTTCTTCCATGTTAATACCAATCACTTTTTTATCGTAAACCATTGTTCTATGGCTTAGTAAAGAGCTTAGATTGAAAATAGACGTACAGAAGAACAACTAGAAAATTTTGTATAAATTTAGCATGTTGGCTGTTTCAGGAGAATTTTGGGAAGTGAATTGATGCGAAGATATATATATTCTTTTTTAAATTCTATTTTTTTGTCATTGTGAAGATACCAAATATATATCAATGGCGTTTGTATATCAATTTTTAAGTTATATGCTGTTTTGTTTTCATTGTGTAAGCGTCAGGCATATGCCATATGAATTTGCAAAGAGCTAATCTAAATCTAAATATTTGTGAAAGTAACCCACATTTTCTAGAACATATCACAAATTTTACAAGCATGTGGTAACTTTGTGTGATTATATTTACTCAGCCTTATCAAATCACGTGACTAAATGAAGCGAAACATCTGCAAGACTCTTATGTAGCGCCAATTTAAAATTTCTAATCGACGATTTCTGACCTCGAGATTATATATATATATATATATATATATATATATATATATATATATATTTAAAGACATTTTTATGTATAACATTCTTTTTATAGATACAAGTATTTTAAGTAAATGATCTGTTTATAATAAACAGTATTAAATAACATTTACCGGCCTGAATGTCAGAAAAATTTTCATAGGAAATATTTGTCCTTCGACAGGATTCGAACCTGTATCCTATACGGAAACGTCATTTAGCTTGACGTGCATTTAGTTATTTGGCCACGAAGGAGCGTTCAGTTTCTATGAAAATTTCTCGGACATTCAGGCCGGTAAATGTTATTTAATACTGTTTATTATAAACAGAGCATTTACTTAAATACTTGTATCTATAAAAAGAATGTTATACATAAAAATGTCTTTAAATAATTCGGACTTTGTCCATTTTATAATATATATATATATATATATATATATATATATATATATATATATATATTACAATGAATCATTCATACAAAAGTAAATTAATAAAGTTAATGAGATAAAATGACAAATTCACTTCGTTAAATAAATTTTAAAAATGCATTAACCCACTAACCACTCGATGAAAGTTATCCTTGTATTTTTTTTTTTTTGTTTTTTAATATAAACTGTATTAGGTCTTCCTTAAATATGAAAGTACTTTCGACAGGTTCTCCGGTCATCATCAGGCATGAAAACTGTTTTCTTTTTGTTAAAATTCAGGTAGCATCCGAAATTAAAATAATGCAAATCGAAATATGAGAACCTCTCGAAAGTACTTGCATATTTAATGAAGACTTAATGCAGTTTATAATTTTTTAAAAAATATAACATTCAGCGAGTGGTTAGTGGGTTAATGCGTTTTTAAAATTTAGTTAGTGAAGTGAATACGCCATTTTATCTCATTGACTTTACTAATTTACTTTTTGTATGACCGATTCATTATAATATAAATAAAATGCACCTCACATTTAACATGAGAAAGTCAGAATAATATTGTTTTTATTAAATCACTTTTATATGTTTCCGATATGATAAAATTTACATACCAACATTTACGTATGATTTCAGCATATTGGTAAAGTTTACATGCCGGCTTCCATGAAGCAACTGAAACGATCAATTATATTAACAATGTATTAGTCAGTGCAGGCACGGCCCGGGGTTAATTGTGCGTGTGTGGCAATAGCCAAGTGAGTGCGTTCTTGCTTTTACTTTTAGCCAGTTTCGTTTCTCTTTTTCAGGCAACCCGAAACGAAGCTGACATTGCGGCCACACATGTCCGCTGCGAGGCCCACCGAGACTAATGTCAGCGCCGAACTCGAGGTCAAACTTCCTGACAACCGAACACATGATACCTGCATTTGTAACTCGAGTAGAACAGCATTTGGCAACATTCCACTGTCACCCTCCTCTTTTTTTTTCCAGCTTATCACTTCCGCTTCATCGCGTAACATTTTCAAATTTGCTCCCACCCTCTTTCCCACTATGCTTCTTATTTATTTTTTTTTACTTTCTCTTTCTTTTTAATTGTTTTTTTTTTTTTTTTTACTCTATCTATTTTTTAACACTTCACCTTTAGATGGGATGCAACATACAAAAGAGCAAGGCCCAGACGTAACAATGGTAGAAAAAGCATTTTAGAAAACATGAAAATATCTCATCTTAGAATATCAGAAAATAGATAAATGTCTTCTTTTTTATTATTTTTTCCGTATCAAGTTTGTGGTTCACCTTTTAGTGTGTTCTTTTTATTCAAAACTTGTATTTTTCTCCATTTTCAACCGTTGTTAAATTCTTTTCTACTACCATTTCCTTCCTACTGATTTTGCGCTTGATATAAATACCTCCCACAAAATGGCAAGACATGAGCTATTTGGTGCGGCAGAAATATTTCCTACATTTTAACCTATCACCTGTGTCGTGCTAGTAAACTTAGGCAAGTGGTAATGGGGTCTCCCTCTAGCTAATATCTCCCCATTATGTATGAAGTCTTTCTACTGTACCCTGTACTTCATTATTTCTTCAACTGTTTAATTTGCGTTCAACTTTTCTTAGTTTTTACTTAATTGTTTTCTTTCTATTGTCTTCTCCATTTTTATTTATTTATTTTTTTTTTTTGCAATGACAAAAAAGAACGTTTTTCCGTTGCCACTGTTATTAATGAACACCTCCGCCCCGTAATGTTTATTGATTTAAATGAATATTTTAAAAATTTTAGTAAATCCGTCACATGAAACTGAATTATACTAAAAAAAAAAAATTTCTTCTAGTGTTTATTTACAAGATTATTAATTTATAATCTGTAATTAATTAAAACTATAAGAAACTTGATTTCTTAGTTTTAAGTGACTGGTTTTGCTTTGAGATCTAATAGGCATTATTGAAGTTTTAATAAAGTCACGTTTTAAAGAGGTATTTTTATCAATTTTAAGAACACCATAACATATAAACTGAAATTATATATCTTTTCTCTAACGTCGAACCTGGTCAATAAATATATGGGCCATCACTTGGGAATAACAGTTGGTGTAAACTTGGGTGTACGTGTGGTGTACTTGATAATGACTATGAACCGGAGAACCGATTTCGAATTCCAGCCGCGTTCGTTGCATTCACTTAGGTGCACATACCCTTGGAAAAGGAATGAATCCATCTCTCTCTCTCTATATATATATATATATATATATATATATATATATATATATATATATATATATATATATATCTTTCCTCCATCCTCCCTCCCCTCGCGCCATGGGTTATAAATAGCAGATCATCTTTTCTTTCTTTTTATGTGCAGTGTCCTTTCAGGATGTAGGCGATCATGGCTCTCCATTTCCCCCTATCCCTTGTGGCTCTCAACAGGTTTTGTGTTTCTACCAACTTCCCCAGGCCATGCTCCGCCATCCACCGGCCCAAGTCCGCCACGTATCTCATGTGCTGCTTTCCCCTAACTCTTTTTCTCTTTATTCGTCCCGTGAGTATCAGATTCTCCAGGCCCTCCTTTCTCATCACGTGTCCCAGAAATTTTATCTGCCTCTTCCTTATGGTTAGCATAAGCTTCCTTGTTGTTTGCTTCCTCTCCAAGACCTTATCATTGCTTACATGCTCAGTCCATGATATCCTTAGCATCCTTCTGTAGAACTACTTCTCCGCCGCCTCGAGTCTCTTCTTCATCCTTGAGAATACCGTCCAACATTCGCTGTCGTACAGGAGGAAAGATGTCATCTAGCTTGTCAGTACTCTTTACATTGTCGCCATAGAAATCCTCCTGTTTCGCAGTTCTCTGCTCCGCTTCTGGCATGCATCCTTGGCCATTCCAATCCGTCTTCGAACCTCAGCGTCGCACCTACCGTCCTCTGTTAGAACACTTCCCAGATAATCAGGGATCGAAAAGAGACATGATCACCAATGATTGCATCACGTATGACACCTACAGAAAAAATTAACCATAACGTCATCAGATTATTCTTGAATCACTCTAACTTGAGTGACTCACGAGCCTTATATTAATTAATTTTTATACGCGCAAATACCCAATCCTTGTCTTTTAATCTATGAGTTGAATATTAAGACAGACTGGGTTGGTAAACTCTCTGCCGCCGAATGTAATGGCAGCTGATTATGGGAATTCATCTACCAAGTCAATCAGGGATCGAAAAGAGACATGATCACAAACGAGTGCATGACGCATGACACCTTTTGCATGGATAATAACCTGAACGCTACAATCTGGCTGTTAATGTTGTATTGTCTTCAGATTTTTAGGGATTTTAATCGACCGCCAAAAGAGAATTCTTCGATTGTATTTTTCTGTTTTCATTCATTTATCTATATTTCTGCGCGATAAGAAAGATGCTTACAGCCATACCACGTTGAAACACTAGTTTTTATCTGATCACCAAAGTTAAACAACATTGAGCCTGGGCAGTTACTAGATGGGTAACGGCTTGGGATTAACAGGATGTGTAGGTGGTGTAATAGATAACAGTTCAGAATTGGAAATCGGACAACCGAGTTCGAATTTTAGTCGGGTTCGTTACATACACTTACGCACAAATACCAATGAAAACAAGTGCATCACACCAAAGGAAAGAATTTACCATACCGTCATCAGATTATTCTTGTTTGAATTTCTCAAAGTAGGCTCAGTTCTTTTATTAAATGTTTGCGTTTTATTAATAACACAATCCATCTTTTGCAGGTTATTCAAAGCCAGAAAATATTTTTAGATTGTAAGTATTTTTTGAAGATAATAAGGATTTATTGATACACGTCCTACTAATTAACCGATAACTTGGGGAGAAACCAGCCGGAACTGGAACTCGGCTCTTCAATTTAGAATTCCGTACCGTTGCTCATCACAGCCCATACACATCCAAGTTTACTGTACCTGGTATTCCCAAGCGGTCACCCATGCAAGTATTGGCTAGGCACGACGTTGCTTAACTTCGGTGATCTTGCGAAACCGTTGATTCAATGTGATATGGCCGTATGGCTTTATTAAAATTCTAAAAAAATAGCTATTTAAAATTTTGGGAAAATACCATGAGAATATTCAGTAATAACGGTTGGTATTTTTGGTGTTTTCCAGTCAAATTTGCCTTTCTATTCGGTTTTGTCTATTTGCGTTATGATTCCAATTAATTACTTATGATTCCAATTAATTACTTCGCGTTGAAAAAAATTCATTGACTAAAACTTTGAAAAATCTCATTCTCTAATTGTCAGTCTCAGAAAAAACTTCAACATTATTCCGATAACAAATAAAAACTTATCGTAAACTAAGCAACTGGTGTATTGATTAATAACAGTTTATGGTATGCTAAGGTATGCTAAGTACTTGAAAATTAACATTAGATAGAATTCCGTCTGGTTTTCCATAGGTAGAAGTATTCATTACTATAGTACTACCTTCTGTAAGCCGTCCGATCTCAATTCTCTTAATTAATTTTCGGTAAAATAGAAAAAAATAATTTATTTTCAATATTTTTCCAATGTTTTATTGTCCACGAGAGTCATGTTCGGTTTACACATTATTACACCTATAATACCGCGTAACTTTATCGGGGATCAAGTGACAGTAAATCTCATTAGTGATATTTTATTCTCCTCAGTATTCAGGCCGATTTTATTGCTGGTATGCGGAGGATTTCGCTGTTAGATTTCCATGTCTTCTAAACTTTTCCTAAGGCACTTCGGAAAAGCTCCAAAGAATAATGAATACAATCGGCATTTTGTATTTCGCATCTTTTCAGTTCTCTCCGGTATATTTTCCCCTAGTTTTATTCCGCAAAGTTGAAATTTTAAATGCTAGAAACAAATAGGGTAGAGATACTGGATTTATTGGAAAGAAAAAAAGATAGAGAACAAGTTCAATAAATACTCAAAAATAGATAGTGGAGTGAGATAAGGTGATGCTTTCTCACCGGATTTTTTAACCTATACAATAAAATGATCCAAGGGAAGTCCTGGATCATTATCGAAACATGATTTTTAACAATATGAGATGAACTGATGACACTGTTAATGGTAGACTTAGAAGGAAAACGGAAAGGCTTTTAAATAAGGTAGTAAAGAATAGCGAAAAAGAAAAGACTAACTATTAACTGTAAAATTGAGAATGCATTTCTATCAGAAAAAGAAAGTCAAGCCCAACATGTGAGCTACGTATTTGGAAAATTAAAATCGAACTGGTTTAGAAATCATCTATATTAGTAGTGTTGTAACAGAACGAAAAACGTGATATCATATTAGAAATTTTTTTTCTATATTTTTCCTAAAACTTCCAAACGCGGAGAAAAAAATCAAACTGATCCAACTTTATATCGTCACACTATACATAACTTTCACAATCATTTATAAAAGGAAGTACAAAAAATAAACAAAATTTTAATGTGACGTGCCGACTGGATGTAATTACACATTGCACAGATCGATGTCAAGAGTTGACACCAATCTGAGCCATTCAGCGCGCTTCTAGATTGAGTGATTTCTTTTCCTGCAGGATTTTTCTTAAAAACTGCTACTGAAATTCTTGTCATGTTTTGAATGGCTTTTAAGGAAGAAAAATGTGATGGAATATAACGTGATAGCGATTGCAAGAGCTATCATGACCTGGCCGACTTCCAGCAAGATCCGAGAAGGAAAATCTCAAAATAGTAGCCCTCAGCCACAATCAACGATCATCTGATGACCGGGGTCGTTGGTTTTTTGTTGTTTTTTGTTTTTTTTTCACTTGATGTCCGTGAATGTTAAATAAGGATTGAAAATTAAACGTGCCGCCGCAGACTTTGTGCCTTATTTTTTCTTCTATGTACCGTGTTTCTTTCAAGAGGTTGGCGATCATGGTTCTCCCCAATTTCCTTTGTAGCTCTTTTTAAATGTTGTCACTTGTTATCTTTCCTGAACTTTCCGCCATCCATTTATTCAAGTTCGCTAGGCAGGTTATGCGTTGTTTTCCTCTGTCACTCTTGCCTTCAATTTGTTTTGTGAATATTAAATTTTCAAAGCCCTCTTTTTTTCATTATGTGCCCTAGAAATTTCAACTGTCTCTTCCGTCACAAAAGATAAATAAATAAACACCCATTTAACGGAGGGGAATGGATTGAAAGAAACAAATTCGGAATCACCCAGTTTCTTTCAAATGTTCTAACTAGAAATGTCTCATAAACTGAGTTTATTTCGAGGATAAAGAGATTCAAAATTAGATTCACGTTAGAAGTATTGAAACTGTCTTTCTGAAATATATGAAAGTCTATTTTCAATTACGCCTTCTTGGTATCACGTTTTCTAATGGCATGAAGTGGCGCAATTATAGTTAATCATTTGCGAGGTCTGCTGCTAAAACAATTGTTCACTCTATCGTGCCAGACGATGTTGCTGCCGTATCTGGTCTGGTGCTTTGAATAAATTTCTTGAGATTCTCAATAAAATCCAAAAAAAGCTCTATACGTTACTGGTTTTGGCCTGGCATCTCGATTTCAGACACTTTCTGACCGCTAGGCTTCCCGCAGTCTTTTCTGTAAAAATTTCCATGACATTTCATTAGAGCTTATTTGAATATTAGCTTTTCTCTTTGGTATCCCGACTGCATGAAATTGAACGTATTAATAAATTGGCTATTAGGTCCCTTTTTTTACTGATGAAGTAGCTTGATATAACCGTAAGTACTATCCTTAAACAGTTTCTTTTCTCTTGATCTCTTTTGGTTTCTTGCTTCCCTGCCACGTAGAATCTTCAAAGTTTTGCATGCAATATCAGTCGCCATCGTCTGTCTTCCAGAATGCTGTTCTTTTGTCTTTTCACCTCACTGAAGTTTTCTCAATCTCTTTTATTCCCAATAATACCTTGGGTTTAGTGGCATTGCCGCCTTACTTGGGGAGATGATTAAACAACACTGAGAGGGTCTAAACCAAGCAAAGTCTTGTTCAAAATATCAACATAATTGAAGACTCATTTTCGAAATATAATTGCATATTTCACCGCTATGAATTATAAATCAGCAAACCAAGAAATCATCAGGATTGTTAAAAAGACAGTCTATGATTATTTTATGTTTATCCAACAGTGTGTCGCTTATAGTGTATTTCAGAATTTAATTAGTAAAACATGCAACAATAGTATTTGGATTTCTTAAGAACTTTCACTTGAGAACCACCATCAGCAGCAGCCTTATAACCAGGAATGTTAAACTTTCGCTTTTGTTTCCCATTGTGACAGATGATGATAAATGGCTTTTGCATGTTAACAAAAAATGTAAAAGCTTGTTATTACAAAATGTGAAAACATTGCCAAGATCAAAATCAGGACTTCATTCACAGTAGTCCTTGATGTGTGTCTGGGGGAATATGAAAGGTGTTACTCATTAAGACATCGAGAACATGGAAGGACCATCACTACAAACATTTAGTACATATTATAATTAGCAACTTGATGAGGAAAAGAGTCATGCTTTCGTAAATAGAAAACGGTGTCGTTCTGAAGCATAAGAATGCAAAAAGAAACCCCATAATCATCAGATTTTTGTTTGTTTCAATTGCTAGAACTTTTCATAGGTACCAGAATATTCTGATACAAGAAAGATTGAAAAAAGTTTTGCAAACCTTTCTCGGAATAAACCAGGATTTCCTTACATGTGGACTCAAACGATTTCCCTACCTACTGGACTTCAGTCGTTGAAATGAAAGCAATTACATTTTTTTAATAAATGAAATATCAATAAATCCAAATTACATTTCTTTCTATAGTTTCTAAGAAGAAATCCTTTTTCGGAACAAAATTTTAATAAAATTAATTTACATCTTTTTTTATATAATTTCTGAAAAAATTAATTAATTTTGGGACACCCTAATACCTTTTGCGCAATAGATACAAGAAACTTTTTTCAGAGAGCAATAAAGAGGTTTTCTACTATTGCACTCGGAGGAGAGAAAAATCAGCCAACCAAAGAAAAAAAAATAATTCCGGAGCATTCTTTGAATTTAACAAAATTAGCTGACCTTTTCGAATCTATCGATATGTATCGTCATAGTATTCATTTCCTATCACTGTATTTTCCATTCAAAACACTCACCTTACTCAGCGTTACTATTTGTATTGTAACTTTCACCTTTCTCTCTCTCTCTCTCTCTCTCTCTCTCTCTCTCTCTCTCGTGTCGTCCTTGTTATGACTATAACCTACATCCGACAGCAAGGCTTCTGATCAGGAGATTGGAGATTTTGAGGAGCGTGGAACCACCTCTTAATTGCTGGTGTTCCCAGGTCCACCCTGACCCGGTGTGGTAGCACCTGTTAGGGTCCCAGCTATGGGCAAATAGTTAACCCTACAAACTGGAGTCAAAACACTCTGATAGGTTTTGATAGTAAAAAATAGCAGCAATACAATTTCGAATTTTCTGACATTTCTCAACCGTACATCGGAGAAATCAAATTGTTTCTTCTGCTCGACACTTAGAAAATCGCTGTTTCTCGCCACGGTACCTAAGCAGTTCCTTGCCTTAAAAGAGCCCTTTCAATGTGGAGTCTTGATGATTTACACGCAGACTAACGTCCTCATAATTATTATTTTCATCGTTTCAGCCGTTATGCCTTCTGGTTTTCATGCCTGTCGAACCGGGTAACCTTCAGAGAATTTCCAGCTCAACCCTTTATTTAATCTCACGAGCCAATAATGCGTTGGTTCATTGAATTTGGTGACACAGTAATTGTGAGTTTAGTCCCTAGTCTTGGCAGTGAAGACTTGGTAACCTTCACGAAATTTCGAACTGAACTCTTTATTTAATCTACAGTGTATTGCACACGTTTCACTGGCCATGTCTAGGTATATCTCGTTTAGTTCTAGAGCTGCTAAATTAATTCCTGCCTTGTTTCTACTGAGTCCAAGTACACACGACTCAGCCCAGGAATTGGATTTATAGTTCCTGCTTTCGCTTGTCTGGATCTTCACAAGACATGTTCAGCTGATGTTATCTCTGTAATAGTTCTTAAGTAATGTGTTCCAGAACTGTATCCTGTTCACGCTAAACCTTATAATAAATAGCCTTGCTGCCTCTTGCATTCCTGCTTGTTGGAAATCCTCACCTGTTGTTTCAGTTTTTAAGAACTCAGGTGGACCGTTCGAGCCTTCCAATTATCAGCATATTTTGATAAACTACTAGAGGCCCTAATCAATGCTGAATTAATTTAAAATCTCACAACGCAGGACATTCTTTGAAACAAGCAATACAGATTTCGTTTCTTCAGGTCAACTGTTGATGTATTAACGATTACTACGGAAAGAGTCTATCAAGCTTTAGATAAGAATGGTGAAAATCGAGCTGTTGCTTGGGACATCTCGAAAGCGTTTGACAGGGTTTGACATATTGGTGTTCTTCACAAGCTGAAAAGTTAGGGTGACGCCGAGCGATTTTTTCAACTGATCCAGTCTTTAGTAATGAAAGTTATTCTGAACGTCCACTGTTTTATATCCTTCTGTATTAATGCAAATGTCCTCCAGGACTCTATCCTTGTTTCTATTTTTTTTTATTTACATTAGCAACCATCCTGATGGCTTCAGTTATCAACCTGGTATCTATGCTGATGACAAAGCCATTTACTCTTGTCTCAGTAGTAAGTCTGATCAGCTCAAAATCGAACTACATCCGTTGTTAACTGGGACAACAGATGGCTTGTTAATTTTACCGCCTCTAAAACAAAACTGCTCCCTATTAATAATCTGAGAGACCCCGTTCTGCCTTCCATCAGCGTTTCGCCTTCTCGGGTTAACATTCTCGGCCGACATGAAATGGAAAGATTACATAGAATCAACTTCTCTGCCAGCTACTAAGAAATGTGGTCCACTGCGTTATGCTAGACAATTTTTCTCTCTACAAGTCTACCATTCGCCAGTTTTTAGAATGCTGCTGCTCCATTTGGTCTGGTTCTCCTACTATATATTTAAAGATTTTTGATAAAATATAAAAGAATCAGCAATATTATTGGCCCTGACATGGCATCTCGGCTTCAGTCACTTTCTCACAGTCGTAAAGTTGATTCCATGTGCCTTTTCTATAAATACTTTCATGGTAATTCTTCAGGTACGCTCTTCGCTATGGCAACCAGACTTTATAAATTTCAGATTGGCAACAATGTCTCATCAATTATCATTTGAATTAGCTAGATGAAACCGTAAGTTCTATGTTAACGGTTTCCTTTCACGCACTTCTCCCTTGTGAAATTCTCTTCCGGCCAACTTTGATCTTCAAAAATTTAAATGGAATATCAAATTTTATCTACTGTCTTCCTGATTACTTTCTGTTGTTGTCGCTCCTCAATAATGTTTCTGTTTTCTAATACTTTTACATACAGTAACACCCTCAGTGGCTTTACTGGTTTGCTTGGAGTAAATTCG